GTGTGTGTGTTTGTGTGTGTATGTGTGTGTGTGTTGTGTGTGTATGTGTGTGTGTGTTTGTGTGTGTATGTGTGTGTGTGTTTGTGTGTGTATGTGTGTGTGTGTGTGTGTATAGACTACGTTTATACACATGTACATTTCGTTTTCAACACTATAGTACCACACATGTGCAGATCAATGCACTTATGGCCCATTTTTCTGTCTTGCCACATCCATCCAATAAATCATCTATGCACCTACTAAAGTAAACAATTTCGCTACACAGGCATGCACAATTTAAAATTACCTATGGAGGTGAAGACTGATTAAGAGAAACAGCACATACTTAGGTCATATCCGAGAGGCAATTTCACTGCATGTACACCACAGGAAAACAACACCAGACTCAGTGGTTCAGTATGATACCGACCTTAATATGCCTAAGACGCTAGTCGAGGCTAGCAGAGTTGTGGTATACAGTATTCTACTGACATCGATGGGTTGTAACCGTGACATTGTTAAATATGGCCTATCGCTCTCCGCGTGTGATTGCTTACCAGCTGTACCGGCCGAATCCACCTTCCATTGGTCCCTAAGACCTTGTTCTTTCAACACAGATATAAACACAGCCTCTGCCATAGGAGAGCGGCATATGTTCCCCAAACAGCAGAAAAGGACTGACTTCACCATTTTCGGAAAGTGTTCGTTTCGTTACTCGGCTGCGACTTGTTTGACTGGGTTGCTGATTATATGCGCTTATCTAACTCTGGGTGAGTAGGCTGACGACTGCTTATATTAATGTTGATACATATATTTATGAAAATGTTCATAGCCTTCTAAAGGCTATGTAAGTGATGTACAATCAAATACAAAACCAAATGTATGAGTATTCATGATTTATTAGTGTATTTAGTTTAGTTGCTCGCGTGCATAACAACCACCAAATGATTGGCCAACCTGGCAGTTCTACAACTTTTTTCTTTTCTTCCACAGTGGGAAAGTATGTTCAGCGCGTATGCCTATGAAATATGCAGATATGGGCTTACATAGGATAGTCACGCGCGATGAAGCTAGTGAGGGCGAATTGCTGGAGACGTATTTGCAAACAAAAAACCGTGAGCTATGCCCTATTGATAGCTGGTATGATGTTTAAAGCATATATATATTTGTATGTACATGCGTACATACATACATAAATAAAATACATAAACGCATCCATACGAATATGCATGCATGCATACTTACATGCATGAATATATACATACTAACATACACATACTAGTCATATATGTATTGTAT